ATAATATCGTATCGTGGGATGTATGGTGATTCCCACCTCTACTGCTTACCCAGATTATTAAGCATGCATTAGGACACTCATTATGTTGCTGACATAGATGACAGTACAGGGAAAGAATGTGACGTCTGACAGACGTTTCCCCTCTGAGGAGCAATATTTAGGTTTCTATACTGATGTTGAGGTTTTAGAGCGACGTTCAGTGTCTGTGGCTGCAGTAACATATGATTAGTGTTTCAGTACTAATAACATCGGTGATAACCTGTATCATTCGTGATGGGCACGTCAAATAGACTCTAATCATAATCTAATATGTTGTTTAAGCTCTGTGCGTCTTTTGTTAGCTAACGTTTGCTGGCTCTAAATCCACCGTCTGAACGTTCACGGGGTTTTTGAAATGTGCATTTACAGTCAAAACCTCACGTTCTTGCATGTCACCGTAACTCTTAGTTACTTTCAAAACTATGTGCTGATCAAGAAGTATGAACTTGTTTTTGTGTGTTAGCTGGTAAACTGTCCACAGACGACCTCAACGCTCTGATCGCCCATGCACATCGTCGCATTGACCAGTTGAACCGAGAGCTAGCTGAGCAGAAGGTCAGAGAGAAGATCCACATTGATGCAGCGTTGGAACAACAGAAACTGGAGGACCAGAAAGCTCTGGACAGCGCTGTCAACACTGCCCTGCAACATGTCAAAGAAGAGGCCCGGCTGGACCAGGAGAGGAAGGTGCAGGAACAAATATCTTTAGATTGCTCTGATTTTTCAGTTAATGTGAGCGTATCTAAAACGTGTTATGATTTCCTCTGTGTGCATGCAGCTGGCTGAGTTAAGAGAAGTGATGGAGGCAGAGATGAGGACTCAGCTTCGGCGGCAGGCAGCGGCTCACACAGACCACGTCCAAGATGTGCTCAAAGTCCAGGAGCACGAGCTGAAAGCTGAGGCTGAGCAGGTGATCTCTCAGAGTCTGCTTACACACCAAAATGAGTCCTTACAGGACATCAGTGGCTTTGAGTTTTGAGCACCGAGTGCCAGGTTTGGAGCGTCATAGCAACCAGAGTAAACACAAAATATATACTGAATAAAATGTGGTCTGTTTGGTTAAGTTACTTAATCCTGAAACCAGGTTGCACTGGTAACAGCTGTGTGACCAACATCCTGCAGGAGAGTAAAGTTTGCTAATAGATGTTAACAGTGGCACAAAATGCTAAAAGTAAAAACAGTCAAGAAGATGATGTTTGAACTGTGTCTCAGAGTAAGGCTACGTCCACACGTACACGGGTATTTTTGAAAACGGAGATTTTCC